CAAATCATTACTGTAAACAGTTCCATGAATGCTCCTATCTCCGAGACTTATAGTTCACAAAAAATAACTCTTGCACGCCTTGCGTGCCTATGTTTCTTTATAGCCGTGTGGCTGGTAATACAGAACTCGTTCCTAAATCCAGTTGTTTACTCGGTCAGAATGAGACAGTTTCGAGTAGCGTTTATTGAGTTAACTTGTCAGTAGAAGTACAAACTTTGCTGAAGCGGAAGAAATTGAGATGCGAGTGTTGGGATCACACAACGTTGTAGGACAAGCAGGACAAAGAGAAGAAGGAGCTCAGCAAAACACGGAGGAAGGAAATGTAAACAACTGAACTGCAATAATGAGTGAAGTGCTGCATCAACACAAAATATTATCGAACAACTGAACTGCAACTTCATAATAAAACCTGTACAGCGTTGGTGTATAGTAAGTAACCTGAAAAGAGAATCCAATTTGTTGACAGTATGAATATAGGACATCTCACCAGCAATAAAAAGAAAAACAAATTAAAATTAAGACTCGATGAAAAAAATGTGTAAGTCAGTAGACTTGTGAAAGAATCAGCAACTTTTATACAGAAACAATTATCGTTAGAGGTATGTTTCACTGCAGATTCACTTATTGTCTTTGGGAAAAAGAAAAACATATCTATGCTTTTGTTTGGCATTGTTAGGAAAATGAATTTTGTGTTACTCAAAAGCGCGAAGTTAAAGTGATTCAAAATACAGAATTTTCGCAAAATCGCGGAACGGTGTCGCGAAATATATACGCGCACCTCAAAATCGCGAAATAAATGTGTCGCGAAAATTTCGTGTAATATGGTGTTTAGTAGACCCTATACTACATTTTAAGCGTCCGCAATAATTACAGTACAGGATTGAACTTTTAGTAACTCCAAAGCTCTTAACTTCCTCTTTGAAAGGAACTCTAGTTTAAGCACTGCTTGAGATATGTAACGACATGACTGACATGAATTTGTGCCATTTTCTCGTCGGTACATCTGTAAAGCCTTTTGGAGCAGTTGTATAATTTACACAGCTGTTATTTCAGTCTAATATTTACACGTAAATTTACTTTAGCTATGTTTCAGCAAAGTTTTCCTAAATTTTGTCTGAAATTTGTCCGAATATGATACTGGTATAAAGTGCGAAAATTAAACGTCCAATGAAACCAAAATAAAACGTCCTCAATTTTTTTTTTTTTTGCAAAAAGTTGGGGTAGAGAGGGTAAGGGAAAAGCTAGGAGCCTGGATCTTAGTAAGAGCATTCAGGTTCTTGTCACGAGACTGAAAGCAAGAGCGAAAGAGGAAATAAGTCATCTCCCGGAAAAAAGATATTGAGCAAGCTTCGACGACTCATGGAGGGAGGAGACACAAAACCTCCACCGTACAATTACGGTGCTATCCCAACAGATGCTGGTCATTCAGCACTACCACCATATACTGCTGGAGGTTTGTAACTGTCGATGATTTTTATTGCCTTTAAATGGAAAGAACAGTGTTATAATTGTACGTGCAAGAACACAACTGAACAGCGATGACAGAACAGAATGTACAACGTGTCGTTGGAGTAAAGTCTCAAAGCAGTGTAGCTTTTAAAAGCGATTAAAATTCATCAGGTTTGGTGTTGTAAGCGTGACTTCGCTTCTGAACTCCACTTTTGACCTATTTATGTAAGCTTACGTAGTTTTTGCATTGCGTAAAAGAATTGATTTATTCATGAACGAAGACACACATGTAGCGATAAGCTTTTTCCACTTCTTAAAGCTTCAAATTCTCTTTTCCGCGGGTTATTCTAACTCCAGTGTTCTACCGTGGAATTTAGTTGTCTTTTGGGCTTGAATAGCCATCCCTACATTGGCTTGAAGTCATAGACGTGTATTTTAATTTGAGAGATGACATGCCACACTAGTCTTTTAGTTGCTTAGCTACAGGGGGCTGCAAAAAACTAGAAAAGTCTGATTCACAATTGCCATAATGGCCTAGAATTATTCTGATTTGGACGGTTTGCAATTACCATATGGATATCTTTTTATGTGACAATCCTGTACAGTTTGCAGAACACAGAGTTAGTAGCCAGCTCCTACCAGCCAATCAAACAAAATAATTTGGCCAGTTAGGCTAGGGCTTCACAGAAAACTTAACTTAAGTGCAGTAAATAATTTAATTAAATAATTTTTATAAGTAAACAGAAATTTTAAGAGAAGAAGGAAGAAATTTTTTTAATAGAATGCAATAATAATATTAAAGGTGATTTCCACTCTATACTGCGCAGTCTCAACACCCAAATGTTTATAAACATTAAAGAGACGTCACTTGATGTTATTCATTACAAACCACATACCTTATCTTTGAGGCCTTTCAAATTCTTTTTCCGAGTGCTTCATTGATTTTTACTGTTGCAAAGTTGTTTCATCAAGTGATATGAGAGAGAACGAAACATAATAAAAGCAGTTTGCGACGCTTCACATCCATAATGGCGGTTGACAAGAAACTTTGAATTTACTTCTTGTATGTAGTTACAAAATGTTCATATTTTGTGATGTCATGCATGAAACAAAACAGAAAATGTAAACAAACTCTTGAGAGTGTGTAATACGGACTGGAAATCATCGTTAAGTATCCCATTTCATGGGTGTCTGAAGAGCCATGTTATCAGCATGTTTTTTTTTTTTTTATCAGTCTGAGATGTCTTTGAAGAAGGGTATTGTACACCTTGCAACAATTCTGTTTTCAAGAACCATGATGAAGGTGTCTTGAAGTTATTTTTCAATTGCATGTCTGTTTTTTTTTTTTTTTTTTTTTCAGCGGGATACCAGCAGACAGGAGGGAACCTTCCACCCCAGGCTTATCCCCAGCCTCGGCCTTATGTACCTCCTCCTAGAACCACGACAACCATCATTACACCACCAGGTCCAATTATTATGAACATGGCTTTTGGTGAGTGTCCGCTTAGCATGGTGTGTCCGCACTGCCAGACGCACATCATTACATGTACAACATATCAAGATGGGACCTTAACATGGCTTGCTGCTGGAGCTATTTGTCTTGTGGGGTAAATATCTCTTTCAATTTTACTTTCATTTTAGCAATTAGGATGTATAGTGTACAATTTTGTTGTGCACTTTAAAAAGTTGTGCAATTCAGATCGCAAGGGTTAAAGCTGGGGATACTATTTCCTGTTCTTGTTATAACTCCAATTACAGACCCTCTCTCCACCCAGCCCAGTTGTTCAAAAGCATGATGACTCCAGGATTAGCATGGATTTTATTCTCAGACTAGTTTAAGAGGTTTTCAGTGACATATCTCTTCATTTTTTTCTGTATTTGGTTTTGACATTGATTATGATCCTACCCTACAAGACATATGTAACAACAACAAAAACCAATCTTATTCAAAAGAAATGAAATACTTAATTATCCTCTAATCCTGGATTAGGAAGTGTTGGTTATCTTTTGAACAACCAGGCCCAGTGGTATAAATGATTAGCAGTGAATTGTAATGGTAATTCAGGGCTCAAAAAAACTGCCGTCCGGTTGTCCAGGACAAGTAGATTTTCCTTCTGGGCAAGTAGCTTTTCATTCTCACTTGCCCAATGGGCAAGGGATCAGGTAAGTTGTCTGCCATCTAAAGCATTAAAAGAGCAAACTAAGATTTGCCCATGGTAAGCAAAATTTGAGAGCTACACTTTACTTGTCCCAAGTACAAGCTGGAATTCAAGTTTTTTTTTTTTTGAACCCTCGTGGGTAAACCATAGCAAAGTACAGAAGGGCTGGGTAATGACAGTAACCTGTTGTGAAGTAGCAACCCACTTACATGTATGTAAGGGGCGTCAACAATTATTAATGACCAAGTTGGGTCTTACATATCCAAGAACTGGAATGAACTTAATCCTCTATGTTTACTGGTCATACATGCAGTAAATGCGGAGAAAGGACTGACTGAAGTGGACGATGAATAGTAAAATCTAAGACTCGTCAACATGCCAAGACCCTTGTTAGAAAATCCAAGACTGAGTCTGAAACAATTTTAGACTCCAAAGGCAAAAGGAACACACAAAATGAGACCTTGTGACTCATCTCAAATGCTGTTAAGATTTTGAGATCAGATCATTAATTGTCCCTGGATCCCAACCATTTGCCATCTCTAGAGGTGAAGTTCCATCCTGTTCAACTTGACTGACTGTATGATTGATATTTTATTAGCCTGTTCTGGGCGTTTGGTAAGTAGTCGCCTGGGAACTTGTATGAAGAATGAGTGGAAGAAACGTGATGGTCCCCCTTGCTCTTGCACAAACATTACAGAATCGTGCCCATTGAAAAACGACACACAGGAAAATGCAAATGAGCAAAAAAGGAGACAGAGAGCATGCGTAAGGCCTGTCAATCAAGACCTTTCTCATGGCAATACCCATTGTAGGTCATTTTCATGAGTATTTGTTCTAGATCTGACTGCTCAAATTTTGCCCTATTCATCAGAGAAGAATAGAGGTAATTCTTAAGACAGTGTGTTTCATCAAATATAACTTATGCTGCTGGTAAGCAGAGATGTCAGATAATATTTTAATATTCTAGGGAAAAATTCTTGCTTTCACCACTTTTAATGTTAATTTGCAAATTGATATTTTAAATCAAATGTGCACTTTATTATGTACAAAATCTTCTGGAAAGTTTTAAAGTACTCTGATATGTCTGAATTGGCTGGCATATGTTGATCAGTTGTTTACATTCTATGCAAATTTATCAGCTGGCAGCATGAGACCATGAAAGTTGAAATCGCCTTTTCAGTAAGGGGGTGAGGGCATGAAATACCACTGTCTGCTGTGTTTGCCAAATGTTGATCAAAAACATTCCTTTTGTTGACAAAAATGTTCAAACAGTAGAATTTATGTTAGCAAGAGGATGGTTTAAATAAATTACTTAATATTGCCATTAAGCAAAGACATGTTGTATCACATTTCACTTTTCAATGCTTTGACAGCAAATATAACTCCTTTCGTTATTGTATTGTTGCTGCCTAGGTTGCTGTCAGTTCTAAACTAAGCAATGGATATGATTAAATATATTTGCTTTCAGAAGCAAGCATTTAGCACATTCGATCGGCGATGTTTAAGGGTCAAAAATGCTTCCATAACAAAGTCTGTCCTTCACATAAATCAGTAGTTTTACTTAAAAACACGAAGAGATGGCTAGATTTTCTCAAGGGGTATGC